TGTCAATGGTGCCACTGTTGCAAAACCCTGGTCCATCAAAATCCTTCCTGTGGGTTTAAATATTCCAGTTTAGTCACTTAGATACCACAGTAGATAATAGTATCTAGTGTTGATAAAAATGTCAGAAAAAGGACAGTCTCATATATTGTTGGTAGAAGTATCAATTAAAGTTAATGTTTTGGAGGCAATTTGTAAATTTAAAAATCTACCTGTACGTACATTTCTACTTTTAAAAGAAGCAATTCCTAACAACTATACATAGTGGATATATATAGCTGTATTAGAACAAGGGTTCTTTATGCAATATTATTTGTAATAAGAAAATATTGGAAACAAATTAAATGTTTATCAATAAGGAAGTGCTTAAATAAATTAGAGCATGTCCATAATAGGAAAGGATTAAAAAAAATGGTAGAATTTTGTATTCTAACAAGAAAGGATGAATATGATATATTGCAAGTTATAAATAATTCAGGTCATTTAAATTTCTAATCAACATTTTTCTTAAATTTATGTAAATGTGTGTGTGTGTGTGTGTGTGTGTGTAGCAAAGGTCTGGAAGGAGTAAATATATAGAATAAGAGGAGTAGCTATGAGAATATGAGTATGGGATGAAATGTTCACTTTTTTATACAGTCTTACAATATTTGAATTTCAAACTTGAAAAATTTGTGAAACAACAAATGTAATAAAAATACATCACATAATGATAAATATCCATAGAAATGATCCATCTTGTAAGAATTATGTGAGGAATTAATTTTTCCTGGTGAAAAAGAATTAAGAGATTTTAGATACAGAAAGAAAAATTGGAGAAGGCCACTACAAAAAACAGTGAACTTCTGGGCAAACCTGTAAAGAAATGGGTATGAGTAGCAATATAGAAACACTCAATTATAGGAGTTGTAATTTAAATTAAAATGAAAGCTTGCATTTTTTAAAGAAAATGCCTTATTTGGACATACTTTAATTAGTATTGGCCTCAATCAAGGAAACTTTATTCTTCAATACTGAACATGTCTATGAAAAACTTCAATTTCTACTTAAAAGTTAAATTATTTTCCAACTCTTTTTTATATTTGTGTACTTGAGTCTAATCTCTTACACATTTTTAGATGAAAGAATTCGGCATTCAAGATTAAAAACATTGAAGAAAGAAAGAAATTATGGAAATTATCTCCAGTTTGCAGCTTGCTTTACAAAGATTTAGAAGCCTCTTTCTTATACAGTTCAATCTTTCAAAAGCATGGGTAGGTCTTTTCATGTATAGTTACAATCTTAACATTCTAAATGTAGTGACTCTTAGATAGAATCAATGGGGTCACTAGTTCATACTTCAGAATTCTGAGAGATCCTTAGTATTAATGAGTCAACACCTGAGGAAGTACTTTCATTTGATCAATGCAGGAAATGTTGCTGCTCAAATACCTAAATCATTAACACTTATCAGAGTAGATTAAAAGCTTGAGTATGCCTTTGAAACAACATAACTAAGAGTAGAAAAAGCCATCAGTACTGAACTAATTCAGCTCTTATTTACATATTGTCTTAAAGGCGTTTTACATTATAATCTCAAGCCAGACATGCCCAGGGCTCCATTCATAAAAACAAGCAAATACCACTTACAGGATCTAGTCCTTACTCTGCATAAGATTAGTTACAAACCTGGAAAGGTTTTCATCAAGTTTGTATTAATTAATAATAAGATTTTAGGTAGCAGAGTTTTGCACAAGGTGGTAAGATTATTGAGTGCAAAGGACCAAGAAAATACCCAAGGGACAGCAAATATTCAAATGAGGATAAAGTTCTTGGAGGAGTTGTTTTGTGGAGATATCTAGTGTGAAAAAAGGCTGAAAACAGGCAAGGTTCAGCTAGAAACCTGAGCATTTTATATACCAGCCTATGGCATTTGGACTACAGGCAAAGGGACTAGCAGCACAGGAATTAAGAAGGCAGGCCATAGATTTGTGAATGTGAGTGATTTGTGAATAGATTTGTGAATACGTTTTATATTTTCTCTATTCCCCGATCATGCCCACACCATCCAATTAATGATAAACTTGATTATATGCCTTGGCATCTTTACCTATCAGAATGTCTACAAACATATAATAATGATTTTCAATTCAGGAGAGCTGTGTAGATGAGCGTAGGGTAGCATGGTTGGTTCTAGGACACTGTCCCTCCATTGACAAAGCCCAGCTCCTCTGCTATTGGGGGCTAGAATGGTCTGATCAGTTCTTGGTGATGGAAGGGGATTCATGACATCCCTATGATGTAGTTTGGTTCTTATTGCTGGTAATCTTGGCTTATGTGATGACCTCTACTTAGATAGTATACGTGATTTTTGATGTTTTCCTTTCCATCTTGGCCCCTTCTATTCTTCAGAGAAGGGCAGCCATATCACTATCTACCTCTCTTCCCTATTCAACCCCTTCTCTTAGTTGTGCATAACTTCACTTGACCTGACAACCTTCTGGTTGTCATAGAGAAGCCCTATAACTTCTCTCCACTTCTCTAACTTTTCTTTGCGTATGGACTGGCTCTTTGAGTGTACCCCCATCATTTTATTCCTAGGCAAGCTATATAATAATCCTTTCCTTCCTTCCTGTCAAGGGAAACTCCAGTAAGCATTCAGTGTGCAAGGAACTCCAATCAAAAACAGGTCTAGTCTCTATGTTCACATTTGGCCCAACATCAAGGGACGAACATCAAGCTCTCATAACAATATGCTCATCATGAAAATTCGGTCTCACTAGCATTCCATGTGACATTAGGATGATGGTTTTAATATTTCTGATTCCATTGTCTATAAACCTTTGAGTGTTCCTCCACAACTTGTCTTTAGGAGAAAGGAGAATCCTTACCTTTTTTCTCACTGGTAGGGAAAATAAAAGATTTTCATAGAGAATATTATACTCTCCCAAGGGCCCAGGACTCCTAACTTGGAGCCACTAGGCCCCGGGCCTCCCCTCAGCAGGTCTCTTACTGGGCTATAGGCGGTTCTATGTCTCTTTGTAAGACCCGTGTGAAGTGTCAGGCCTAACCTGTGGGTGACTCTTTTTCAAATGTTTGGTGCTCAGTATCTCTTTTACTTCATCTTTGAACAAGATACTACCCTGTGACAATGGGAAAAGTTTCACCTCTAATGTTGTGTCATACAGCTGTGTAGTAGTAATAGTAGTAGTAAGCCAGCATTAGCACAGAAAGCCAGGAATACTAGAGTAAATGAATTCATTTCTATTCAATTCAGTAATTATTTAAGGGATTTCTGTAGTTTTTAAAGACACTCAAAAAGATAAATTGTTTTCGAGTAAAGCTGAGGAGCCTCATACATTTCTTCAGTAGCCTGACCCTCTAGTTAAAAGTAATGATTATCATACTGAAACTCTATGAAAGATAAGTTGGTTCATTAATTCTAGACTAGGACAGTGTGACACTGTTCAGTTAGATTCCTAAGAAAGCCTGCAAGACTCATTTTTAGATAAGCTCATCTAAAGTCCATAGACTTTGCTATATAACAATCAAAATTTACCTTTTCTTTTACATAAGCAAAAACAAAAACAAAAACAAATTCAGGGAACATTTTCCATTTCTTGCTTTAGATAAATAGGATCCTACTTTTCCTGTTTTCAGTATGATTTCTAGCCCACTACTTTTCATCTAAACTAAGAATCATATATCCATAGACCTTTCCCTTGCATGAAACAATGTCAGAGATCGTCCACACTGTAGAGAAGGGCTCAGTAAAGTTAGAATATGTAGAAAATGTTGACACAAAATACTTACATCAGGGCAACATATGAAAATATGTAAATGGGACACTACTCAGTCTGTATTCTTATGTAGGTGAAAAATTCTGGAATTATAATTAACTAAAATTATTTTAGCTGAAATCTAGCCGATTTATATATATATATATATATATATATATATAGATAGATAGATAGATAGATAGATAGATAGATAGATAGATATAGATATAGATATCTAGATTCATTGTGAAAATTATAAACACTTTTCTGAGGTAATGATAAAATATAGTCTCTGAATGCATTTTATTTCACCTACAACATTAAAAAATAACCTTGACGAAAATTCTCTGCTTTGCATTTCAAATCTTTCTCCATTTAGCAGCATCCTCACAATCATAAAAAAAAAAAAAAGCACACATGGGAAAAAAATGAGAGAAAAAATAATTTTAAGAAAAGATAGCTAGCTTATGTTCAAAACATATGGGAAAAAGTAGTCCAAAATATTGTCACAACTCCTCCACTGATAATTCATTCCATTCTAGAACCTTGTCAGACCTCGCAGATTCATCGACAGACTGTTATATTCAGAATGGCTTTGAAAACTTACAGTCCTTATCAATGCTCCTGAGACATATAAAAATGTCTTACTTAGAATGGAACATATAATACCTGCCAAATTTGTAGGTATGAAACCACTTCCAATAAGAATTAAAAGGCCCTCTTCCTAGCTGAAATAGGGCTATCAATATATGACTTGTCTGCTCATGAGAAATAGTGGGTTCTGTCTCAGATGTTGCAATTTAGTGTAAAATCACTTTCATGATAACAGAGTACACAGGATGATAAAACAACAAAGATGACAGTCTAATCTTCAAAAACCACTGATCATTGATAGAATATTACAGAACAAAAACATCTGAAATGCCAGATATCAGCTGGTTGGAATACTCTCAGTATTGAGCTATGCTGAGATACTACTGATAAGTGAAAAATGTTTTTCCTATATGTTATGCAGAAACATATTCTCCCCCAGGAGGGGCCAATGAATTGTAATAGCTTTGAATTTAAGAAGTATATATACTTTTTCTCAATAGTGATAAAATAGATTTAAATGTTAATAAATCATGTGCTGTAAAGTGGTCAAAATCATTTTTTCCCTCAGAGTAACACCTGATTGTTGAAAATTTTAAGCACCCTTTAATTATCAGTTTTTTCAATTCTAACAACAATTTTAAATATACGTACAAGAATGATTAGACATGCTGGTCCTATAAAACTCCAGATAAAGTTGTTTTCTGTGCTCAGCCAACATCTGAAAAGTAAATAAGAGATAAAAATCTATAAATGTGTTTGTATGTGCTTGAACAAAACAACATTTTCAGTGATATACAAAGCATATTCAGAATTAAAATTCAAATGCTTTAAGATCATCTTAACTTACACTTTGGTGGTGCCATAATATCTATAACCTAATGATGCTGAAAATCCAACTACCACAGCTGGGCTGAGATATCCAAAGATATAAAAATTCTTGTGCAAAAATCCCTTGTTGTAGATGACTCCCACCACAATGAGATACAGGTGGATGCCTTCAATGCACATCCATGCAAAGGCAGCTAAAAAGAAGTAATGCAACAGGCCAGCAATGATGGAACAGAAGAGCTAGAAATCAAAGAAAGAAAAAAAAAAACTTGAGAAATGTTTGCTTTAACACTATTATAACATAAAATCTTACTTTCTCTATAAATTATGCCACTTTATATCATGCTTAATCATATTAAAACATTCCTGTCAAGTGTCAATTTTTTAAGATATACCACTTCCAGCTGATTTACAAGAGCTGTACTTTATCAATATAAAATATTCACCAATCCTGTGTTAGAACTAAGTTATTGGTTTTGTCCAGTTATACTTTTTGTACATTCATAATGTGAGATAAATTGTGGGTTTACATGTAAACAATGATATCTTAATGAAAATGTTATGATTTAAGTTATTTCTGTTTTAGAGATGCCTTTCCTCTATTCATGCCCACAGAATAAAAAAAAATATTGCTAATATCATACTAAAAAAACATAATATCTTGATTGTCAAACATTTAATTTACCAAATAGCCATTGAAGAATCACTTTAATTTATAAGATTGCTAGGTAAATCTTAGATGATTTTTCAGTTAAATATTATCTATTAGTATTTACTTTACAGCTATAACTGGAGTTAGGCTCATAAGAAATAACAGAAAAAGAAGTAGTTACATCCCCTTCCCCAATTCCCCAATAAAAGAAAGAAAGAAAGAAAGAAAGAAAGAAAGAAAGAAAGAAAGAAAGAAAGGAAGGAAG